GAATTATAAATAACTTTTTTAAAAATGTGCAAATATTCCACAGTGTATATGTATTACTATTATGGTGAGAAAAATGTGAGTTACTAAAAAAACAAAAAAACAAAAAAAAACACTATTAGAAAAAAATGAATGCAATAGAGACTGAAAAATAAAATGATGGAAAGTATTTTTTTATATATATATGATACTATACTGTTGTTAATGCCTCTGTTACTATGTAACTTTACTATAACTTATAAAATGCTTTTATTTAAATTATTCTAACTTAATCCTCACAACTGTCAATGTATACTTTTATTAATCCCATAGTTCTTTTTGCACTTTTTCACAGCTGCCTAATAATAGTGTCAAGGGAGATTGGGAATTAATTGAAAGAAATATACAGTAGGAAATAAGTACGGAACTTGGTTCCAGAGATTCCAGTGGTTCACAGAGAAGATTGACTCCCATAGGAATGGAATGTGCAATAATTTAAATGTTCTGTATATTGTTCTCTACTCCTCTGTTTCAGCAGGTGGCCACCCAGGCTACAACCAAGACTCGTTCTTCCCAGTTTGGTGTGGGCAGCTTTCAGACTCCATCCTCCTTTAGCCCCATGTCCCTCCCTGGTGCTTCCACTGCATCACCTGGTGCTGCTGCTTATCCTACTCTCACCAGCCGTGGATCCAACTTTGGTGAGTTCAGGCCAGAAGATGGTTAAAAGGAACATCACAGTAGTTAAAATGGTTTGCTGTGCATTGAGCTAATTTATGGGAAAATGCAAGGTTTTTGTATTTAAAACCTACCCACATAAAAAAAAATTTTCACACATATAACAGAAAGCATGTAATGTATTATGAATTTAATAATATGCAAATTTAATCTAAAATGAGCAAAGAACTCTTTGGAACAGCTTCCTAGAGAAGAAAAATCAGTTTGGGTGGGGTTTTGAAATTGAAGAGACATTAATTGGCAGAGAGAAGGGCAGAAGGTTTCCAGGTAAAATTAATGACTTACGTGTAGTTATGTGCTAGGTTTTCCTGTTTGTTCTTCTTCTCCAGCTCCTGAGACTGGACAGACTGCAGGACAATTCCAGACACGGACAGCAGAGGGTGTGGGAGTCTGGCCACAGTGGCAGGGTCAGCAGCCTCATCATCGTTCAAGTTCTAATGAACAACATGTTCAGCAGCCATCAGCACAGCAACCTGGCCAGCCTGAGGTCTTCCAGGTACGAGGGTGGAGACATCAGAAAGTCAGAAATGGGAGAGAAAGTGTTAAGAGGGAGAGGCAGAGAAGGAAGTGTGCATGGATTCCAATGTGATTGGGGGTGTGGGAGAAGAGAGAGTGGGGACATGTAGGGATGAATGTCATTGACTGGAAAGATTGTGAACTTAGTGCGATGCACAACCTTTAACTAGACCATAGTTAATGATGTGCAGCACCGTGCAAAGATGTCAAAGAAAGTAATTTTAGCCTATTCAAGGAGAACCACATCCCCACTTCACAGAAGCTTGGGTATACAATTATAAGATCTATTTACAGAAGTCCTGAGGGGACTGCAAGACTGCATGGAGTAATCTTAGGCAAGACAAAAGAAGAGCTACACAGGAAGGCAAAACAGGTTTTGGTAGAAAACAAAGAGGATAAGAGATACTCCATTGTATACCTAGAGGGGTTATGTGAAATGTGGCAAGTAGATTTTTCCCCTTTTGAAAATACCGAGGACTAGAAAAGAGGGAAATGTGGAACTGTAGGGGGAAGATAGAAAATGGACTAGGAAAAAAGGTTGTCATCCAAAGGAGTCAGCATTGCTGAGACCAAGGAAGGCTGGGAGACCTCAGCTGAGCAGAAACTCTGTGGAGTCAGGGACGATGGTTCAGGGGAATGCTGGGAAGGGGGCTTGGCAAATGTAAGGGATCAAGGTGTGTGACCCAAACTTATTTTTCTCTTTATTAGGAGATGCTGTCCATGCTAGGAGACCAGAGCAACAGCTACAACAATGAAGAATTTCCTGACCTAACTATGTTTCCCTCCTTTTCAGAATAGAACTATCGGGGTGAGGACAAAGGGGTTTGGGAGAAAAGTCACCATTTGTTTTCAAAAAACAAGTCTTTTTGTAAACAGAATAAAAGTTCCTCTCCCTTCCCTTCCCTCACCCCTAATGTGCACCCCCTTTCACATCTGGCCTTTCCCTTGCCCTGCTGCCTCTCTGACGTAATTTATAGATGAAATGGAATGAATCCTCGAGGCTTTGGGGGCCCTTTGAAAAACTGAGGCTGGGTGAGGTTAAAAATACCTTTCCTTATGCCTCCTGACCAGAAATTTGTACAGAGATGATGTGTACAAGGGTTAAGGGGCAGGTTAGAGAACCTGACATCCACTATTTGCCTTGTACTATGGCTTTTTGGAAAGAAATTCTGAATAAGGTGGGGAGGAAGGGGAAATGTCCTCATATTTGAGGATCATGAAACATGGTAGGTATATATGGGGCTTTAAGAAGTGAGAATATGTTCTTTCTGCTGCCCGTGAGCAGTTCCTCTGGAAAGAAACATGAGTGAGGAAGTGAGAGAAGAGAGTGTGTGTGTGAATGTGTGAGAGAGAGTGTGTGTGTGTGTGTGTGTGTGTGTGTGTGTGTACACGCGCGCACGTGCACGCGTGCACATGTGTTCCTGGGTTTGTTTCTCTCTCCCTATTAGGGAGTTATGCAAAATTTGTCCCAGAGTTTATCTTTGTCTTTCTCTGTGTTTTTCAAAGAGTCCTAAGGAGTTAAATCTTCCAGGTATTTTCCACTTAGTATTGCAGCCAAAGAGTATTTAAATAATTGTCTTTGCTGCGCTTATATCTATGCCCAACCAGTATGCAACTGTAAGCAAATATGTAAAGTCTTCTGTTGATAAGGTTGGTCTCTCATTCAGACATATTTAGTGATAAAGCTGGGGCATTCCTGCTTTTGGTGCTCTCACCTGATATGGAAGATCTGCAAACATTACAGAAATAGGCTGGCAGGATGAACACTTTCAGAAACCCCACACTTGGCCATAAAGATGATGCTGCATTTTTCTGTCAGAAGTACATATGTGTGTTCTGTGGAGGTTATTTCTGCACGGAAACTCAACTTCTTGGATTAGCAGTCCAGTGAAAGCCCTCACTTGCAGAGCTTAAGCTAAATACCAATCCTTCTTGCAAAATAGCCTCTTTCATCCAGTTCTCAAAGTATCCAGTCCAGCAAGAAAATGAGATTTAGGTCTGTTCTGGGCCTATAGTTCTCTCTTTGCTCCCTCTTCAGTCTTGAGATTGGATTTTGCTTTATAGTGCAAGTGTAATAAATCCATGTAGTAGATGGGGCCTGGACTCCCATTCCGACAGGGTCACTTAGTAATTAACTATAGCCATATAAATGTGGACACAGGTTTCTGCTATCACTCTTTACCTTCCTCAGGTAACAGTTGTATGTATCAGCCTTTTTTTTTTTTTTTTTTTTTTTTTAATTGGCTCAGGCCAGTATCTTAAGTGCAAGACTAATTAAAAAGAAGAAGACATTTTAAATGTAGCCATAGGGGACTGAGGAGCATAGATGGCCTTGGAGAGGCTGAGAGAATGTCATTACTGGGTTTCCCTCCCTTTTGTCTCCAGCCTTGTGCCAGGTAGTGGCATGGAAAAGGAAACAGTTTATTTTTTTATTCTATGTGCACACATACAGTATACATATATATTTATATTACAATGTAAGAAACCAAAAAGTTGAGTTTCCATTGAAATCCTTGTTTTTTAATAATCGCCTGTTTTTAAATGTGATCAGGACTATGATATTGTATAGTTATTAGGGCTTTGGGGGAGGGGAGGGAGAAGATGCTCTGGGGGTTTTGTTTTTGCTTTTCCTTCAGGGTTTTATTTTTGATTGTTTCTTGTTGGCCATTTCTGTACTGCTGGCATCTCTGCTGAGCCTTACAGTGGCGAAAATAATGACATGTAGCAAGTATTTTAAAACAAAATATTTTTCCTTTTGTAAACTTTGTGTTGTGTCATCTTAATTGCGGCTTTATTATTCCTTTGCAGCTCATAAACAACAAACATCCACAACTAGTTGAACCCATAGCTTTAGATCCGGATATACAAACATAAAGCACAACATGTCTGTAATTTCACACATGGGAAATCATAAGGCTCTGATCACTCAGCATTCCTTGGTTGCCCTCCTGATACTGACTCATTCTGAGTGAAATCAGCAGGGACATCTGACCACGGGGTGGGGGTTGGGATTGCCCAAGTCCTCAGGAGAGGGGAGAATTAGGACTTGAGACCAGTTGAGCACATCTGGATCCCTTCTCCCAGTATATTCCCCTTTTCTGGGTGAAAAGGAATTAGGGATGGGAAAATTTGAATTACTTGGGTCTGGACCTGTTTTCCCTCTAGGTTCATTAGCAAATCTTAAAATGCTTACACATAAACTGGTTTTCTTGAGAGCCTGTTGTATGTAATCAAGCCAGAAATTGAATCTAGATCTCATGTGTTGTCCTTTCCTTTCCAAGGACCCTCTTTTTCTTTTCCTCAACACCTGTTTATGGGAGAATATGGAGTTTGGAAGTGTGGCTTAGGAACTGAACTAGACTCATCTGTCACATGCCTGGATATTGGGGGAAGTATGTGGAGAAGAAGCTCATGACTGGACCTGGGTTGGGGATTTCAGTAATTGAAACAGATAAGGTGCATCAGGCATCTTACCATCAGAGTGTCAGCAACAAAGGAGTCACATGTGAGTTTGTCAGTGCTGTGGCATTGATTCATGGGCTGTCATAAATCACTGAGAATATTCAGTAATTTTTCATTACTTTTAGAACCGGTTTCATCTCAATTTTCTGGGCATATCCTTCCTCAGCAAACCTAGGCTGGAAGAGCTATTCCTGTGCGTGGAAGAAATGACAGTTAGCCAACAAGTTTATAAAGTAAATAATGATTTCGGAGCCTACGCTTTCCCTTATACACACTCAGTTTTTTCTAGCCTTTTGTGTTTATTCCCTCATCTCTGTTGTTTCAGACAAATTCAAAAACAAGTTTCAAAGTTGGAAAGATGGGTAACAGGAAAAGATACAACCCCCTAATATAATACGTAATGAGAATGGGAGAGACTGGGCCTGTCCCTCTAGCCACCAAGCCCCAACTTGAATAATGGGTATTGAGGTCTATTTTTGTCTTCCCTCAAAGACAAATCTCTACCCTGCCTTACACCGTCCCCATGCATACAGAAACTGCAAATTCACTGCCTCCTTTCCTCCTCCCTAATCTCCCCTCTCAGCATTTCTATCCCCGCCTCCCTCCCCTATCCAAATTTTCCAGCCAGCAGCTGGGGCTGACTTCCTCAATTCTGATGGAATAAATCCAGCTCTCCTAGTCACCCGCTGCCGACTTTATCCACATTCCACTGCAGGAAGAGCCCAGAGAGCAGATTCCCACCAGCAGGTAACATTTTCAACTTTCTAGATCTTTCAGCTTTTCATTCCTGCCAGTTCCGCATTTTAGGGAGTATTAGGGATGTAGCAACTTGGGGCTCACAATGGACTTTGTAGGCTGTGTGCATGAAAACAGTGATGCCCTTCTGAGGTCATTTCCTGGCCAAATAAAATCTGCCTGGAAATCTTTTAGGATTCTTTCTATGACTTGTATGTATATGTGGCTGCTGGTGAAAGCAATGAATATGGGAATCCTATACCCATCCCTCACTTAAAGGGTGGCCTCTGCAGTTTTCTGTTTTAGCCAAAGGTACCAAAAGGGTTAATTTACAGCTTGAGGCAGTTGTGCAGGATGTTGGTAGTTTAGTATTTCCCACTCTGAGACCTCTCAAAGCCCTTAACACATCAGACATTAAATGTCCTGCTGTATATTTGCCAGTTTACAAAGGTTACTCAGAAATTCACTATAAGTTCAAAAATTACGCAAGCTCTTATGACTTGCTACAGACTGTAAATTGTTCTTAAAATGGAGGCCACGTAACCACTGCAAGGAGTGAAGTTAGAGAAAGTTCTGAAAAGCTGTGTATTGATGATCATAGAACATTGCTTTTCTGTCTCACATTCTTTTAACAAACTTTCGCTCTGAGGCATTTTGTTCCGTGAGGCAGGCAGAAGTTTTTGTTGTCGGTAAAAAAAGAAAACCTCCTGCACGCAGCAGCTGGTTGAGATTAAGACAGTTTCCTGCCTGAGGAGGGAGTAAGAAGAGAAAGGAAGAAATACATATGAAAACTAAGGAGACAGCAAAATATTCTCTCATATTTAGAGAACAGGAAATACTGTCAATTTTCCCTTGTCCTCTCTGAGCAAGTGCTGGAAAAAGACCAAATTTAGTCATGGAAAAAAGGAATGACTTGAAGAAATGATCAGAAAGTAAAACAGGTGGAGATATCTCTTTTGTGCGTTCTCCAACCACTATCATCCTGCCTTGCACTTACCTACTTACCTTGTCCATCTCTTCCAAGTCTGGGGATGGAGGAGAGAGGTGCTGAGCCCACGACTGTCCATTTTCTACCATGTTTCTGTTAGTGATTCTGTGGGAGGGGGCGGGGAAGAGTTGAATTTCCCTAAGTCAGAATACTTGGAACCAGATGTACCTGCCTCCCTTCCAAACCCAGACCCCTCCTGACTATCACTGTTTGGTTTATCACATAGAAATTACCCTCAGTTCTTTGCCCTCTTTGTAAAGCCTAGGTGGTTTTACGGTTTGTTTTCTTTTTTATTTTTTATTTTTTTGCCTCATAGTCCAGAGGAAGGGGTTCTTAGCCTCGGGTTTATGAACTTGTAGAATTACTGTGTGTGCATGCGCTTTTCTGGCGAGAGGGATTATATAGTGGGTTGCACATTTTATTAGCTTGTCAAAGGAGTCTATGACGGCAAAAGTTAAGAACCACCTGCTTGGGAATATGGCTCCAGGTATTTCCTCATCCTCAGCCAGGCTGGGACTTTGTTGGCAAATAGAAGATTCTCCCCTAAATATCCCCTTCCCCAGGATGTGGGGGCTCAAGGTTCTACTGTTGCTGCCCATGGTGAGTTTTGCCCTGTACCCTGAGGAGATACTGGACACCCAATGGGAGCAGTGGAAGAAGACCTACAGGAAGCAATATAACAGCAAGGTGCCTGGGGACCTGGAGGGAGCCTGCTGGGAGGGCTGCAAGCTGAGGTCTCCAGTGCTAGTTTCCAGCCTCCCACCTAGCAAGCCTGCTCCTCTCCTAATTGTTAACTTACAGTTGTCACTCCTATTCCTCAAGACACCCTTCATCAAGTCCTATCCTTACTTTTCTTTATCTGTGTCTTAAAATTTTCTTTTGGGAAGACCTCTCAGATTAATGCTAATAATCCATAAGCAACGTTCCTGTACCTCTCTCCAGATCTGTGCATTCTATTTTTGAATTTGTTTCTATCTTTCTGTCCGCATGCTTAATAACCCCGTGGCCATTTCCCCAACTAGATTGTAAACTCTCATTGTAAGTTTTATCTTTTCTTCTAAAAACCGCCACAATATTACATGTGTAACTACACACAGGAGACAGTCTATGCCAGTACTGAATATGCTCTGTTTAGGTGGATGAAATCTCTCGGCGTTTAATTTGGGAAAAAAACCTGAAGCATATTTCCATCCATAATCTTGAGGCCTCTCTTGGTGTGCATACGTATGAACTGGCCATGAACCACTTGGGGGACATGGTGAGTTTAACCTCCGCCTCTGGCCTACCTGCCCTGTTTGCCTTAGTTCCCTGCTTAAGCCTGGCCTCTTTCTTTTTTGCCCCAGACCAGTGAAGAGGTGGTTCAGAAGATGACTGGACTCAAAGTACCCCCATCTCATTCCCACAGTAATGACACGCTCTATGTCCCAGACTGGGAAGGCAAAGTCCCAGACTCCATTGATTATCGAAAGAAGGGATATGTTACTCCTGTCAAAAATCAGGTACCCTCCTGCCTCCTGGGAATGGGTATGTGAGATGGCATGACCTCTTCCTTTTGCTTTTTCTTTGTTCTTAAGGCAGGAGGGCACTAGGAAGATGGAGCAAGGAGCTAAGGTTGCTTCTCCCCTTGCTAGCACCCTGTCTGACCGTTTAACTCATCTCCTGTTTTTGTATATTTAGATTGTTTCTGAGTTCTCTTTTTTCACCAACAGTGTTGCTGTAAGCACCCTTGTGCATATATTTTTGTACCCATGTACAAATATTTATGCAAAATAAATCCTAAAATTAAAATTGCTAGGTCCTATCCCAAAAAGTTTTACTATCTTACATTTTTATCAGCATGAGAATGCCAGTTTTCCCACCTTTACAATGTTGATTGTGTCAACCAGATGAGCAATTGATTTAACATTCATTCAACAAACTTTTCAGGCATGTGCTAGGCAGTAGAGATTCAAGATGACTAAGACATAACCTTTGTCCCCAAGAAAGCCTTAATTTCAAAAAATAGAAAAGGAAAGAAAAATCTACAATCTGTCTTAAACACTAATACAGCTTGCACTTTTTATTATTTACATTTTACAGATAAGGAAACTGAGGCACAGAGAGTTTTAGTAACTTATCCAAGGTCACATATCTAAGGGGTTACAAAGCAAACTCTGCTCTGCTATACTACAGCTAATGGAACAATAGTAATGAAAGTTATCAATAGCAACAACAGCAATAGAAGAGCACAATAAATGTTAAATGGGGGACAGGAAGACTTCACAGCAGTGGGGACACGTGTGCTGGGATTTATAAAATCTATGGAATGTCATCTGGCAGGGAGAGGGGGAAGATGAAAGGCATGGATGGCAATGACTCATGGATTCTCTGTTGTGCCTCTCAGGGTCAGTGTGGCTCCTGTTGGGCTTTTAGCTCTGTGGGTGCCCTGGAGGGCCAACTGAAGAAGAAAACTGGTAAACTCTTAAATCTGAGTCCCCAGAACCTGGTGGACTGTGTGTCTGAGAATGATGGCTGCGGAGGGGGCTACATGACCAATGCCTTCCACTATGTGCAGAAGAACCGGGGCATTGACTCCGAAGACGCCTACCCGTACGTGGGACAGGTGAGACTGGCCCACACAGCCACACAGCTCTTAATGGCCCCTCCTGCCCCAGCCTGATATTCTGTATTGGAAACAATTCCAGGAATCTTGTTTTCTGTTACCTTATCCTGCTTTCTTGATGGGATAATTGCTCACAGAAGGCCAAGAAGATTCCCAGAATCTGGGATAATTTTGGGAGCTTAGGCTACCATAGATCCTATCTGCCTTGCCACCCTGGAAAGAAAAACAGAAGTCAGGTATTGCATAGATCTCTGAAGAGGTATCTATAACCCTCAGTGCCCCTCATCCACTCCCATCACAAATCTAATTTCATGAATTGTGTGTCTTGATTTTGTATGATCTCACTGTGCGTTTTGAGAACGTTTAAGCAGATTATATGTTAACATGCTAACCTGTATAAAATGAGGGAAAAACCAAGTTGCTTCACATTTGTTGTAATTTTAGAGATCAACTCACTTCCTCCTATAAGCTCCTTCGGCAATAGGAAGGAGCTCTGTTTTATCTAAAATGAAGATGATCTGAAGGCTATTTACATACATGGGGTTGATAGATAATATAATATGGGGCCTTTGCAGCAAGGTGCTTTGAAGAAAGGCTAGCAAGTTTTAGTAATGAAAGTGATGGCTCCTGTGTGCTAAGCCATGTGTTTAGTGCACTTTCTGATTTAACCCTCCTCACAGCCCTGAGAGGTAGGTATATCCTCACTTGGTCAGTGAGGAAATTGACACTTGCAGTAGAACAGCATACTCAGATTCATGCCGCTAGTTATGTAGCAGAGCCAACGTTTATCCACCAGACCTGTTTATCTGCTGCAAACATTGCCAGGTATGTCTTCTATGCACACATGCCAGAATTTCTTTACTAGAATATGGTAGCTTGGGACAGAATTGTCTAAGTCTTAGGTTAGGTGCATCTTCAACTTTACTAGATAGGTAATATCAAATATTTAGATATGACAGAGAACAAAGGAATCTTGAGAAATTATTAAGACAGGATATCATGTAGTCTTAGAATATCATGTCAAATGCCACAGTTAGAGAATATAATGGCCACCCAAGTCAAAGTGGTATATTCTTTTTGGCAATTCATTATCCTACAGGTGGCCTCTTCAAAAGTGTGAAGTTATATCTACAAGAATACATGATCTAAATATTAACAGTAACGGCAGCCCTCCTGGACTCACACATACCACGGGCCCAGAAGATGATCTGTGCTTTTAAAAAAAAAAATCTCATTTCAGAAATCTTTCTCTACACTGAAGTTATAAAAATATTCTTTCTCTTTTTTTAAGTTTTACAGTGTTTGCTTTCACATGTTTTAAAATCACCTGAAACTGACTTGTGTGTGGTGCAACATAGTCACCTTTCCCATTCTTTTCGACAGTGGTCCAAAATGGTGAGGAGAGCAGACCCTTTCCAGAGCCTGCTCACTGCCCCTGTTAGTTCCCTGACATCACGGGAAATATTGGTAGAGTTTCTCACTCACCAGTTCATTGCCTGTTGCTTTGTCCTAGTTCTATTTCAACCTTGTTGTTTTTTTTTCCAGGATGAAAATTGTATGTACAACCCAACAGGCAAGGCAGCCAAGTGCAGAGGCTACAAAGAGATCCCTGAGGGGAATGAGAAAGCCCTGAAGAGGGCAGTGGCCCGAGTGGGACCCATCTCGGTGGCCATTGATGCAAGCCTGACCTCCTTTCAGTTTTACAGCAAAGGTACGGAGCTGTTCCGGTAGAGCACATCGACTGTCTCTCATTGTGTGGGCTTGGCAGCTTCACAAAGGGCCCTGGGCATTTTCAGTAGTTTCCATATGCAGGCTGAGCCTGCCAGAGAGAAACTAACAGCTGCCGTGGCACAGAGCGCCTCTGGTGTAAGCCCTGCTGACGGGGGCAGGATTCTACAGAGGGTCGCCTGGAGCGGGAGCCCCCTGGAGCCCCAGGGATTACAGAAAGTTTCACCTTGATGGATTGTTTCCTAGGTGTGTATTACGATGAAAAGTGCAATAGCGAGAATCTGAACCATGCGGTTCTGGCAGTGGGATACGGGATCCAGAAAGGAAAAAAGCACTGGATAATTAAAAACAGGTAATGATGGGGACGCCACACTTGTCAGTCAGGCACCCTCTGAACACTCGGCCCCAGCGCCAGCTTCCTGGCATTCCTTTCCTTCTCTCAAATCAAGTTAAAGTTGTCTCGGACTTTTCAGTTCTACCTTCCTAATCAGAAGCTATTAACTCTACAGTTAATGGCCAGCCACTAGCACTCAAAGTATGTGCTAGGCAGCTGCTCCACGTGCAAGGTACTTAGTCCCAAAAGAACAGGGTGTCTGCCTTCAGTGACTTCCCGCCCCCTAGGGAAGACAGACCCAGCTAATGAGAACATAAAGTAGCACCAAAACCCAGCAAGACCTTTGAAATTATATATATTTTGCTTTCCTTTTTTCTCTAATGTGAACAATTTCTTAAGTAGGCTTCCGTCATCAGTCTGTCTGTAAGCAGTAGGGAACAGTGTAAAGGTTTGTGTGGCTTTTTGCCCTTCTAGATACACTTTGGATAGACATACATAAGATCTGGCCAAAGATTTTGAAATCTGAAGTGAAATGCTTTCCAGAAAGTAGATATGCACAACAAGAACAAAATCCAATGTTTCCTTCCGTATTATTTGGAACAAATAAAACCGCAGGGTAGCTTGGCTCCCTAGTGACTTGGGGCGGGGCAAGTTTCTAAGAATTATACTTTCCCTTTCTTCATTGATCAGCACTAGCCTGGCAACAGCACCAGTTAAATTTTCTGTCGTTGGTGCACCCTAAGGAGCAAGAGTCTTAGACTGTGCGGCAATTACAGGCCAGGCAGCGGTGTAGCCATGTTGCCTGCTGCCTGGAGGGCTGGCAGGATAGAACAGGAGGTTGGGAGTTGCTTCAAACCTAAAGCAACTCTTTATGTCACAGTCCAACTGAACGCCATCCTAAGAGGGTGTTCCTTTTCCCAGAGCTTCTGCCCTGTGTTTTCCCTTTCTCAACTTCTAGCCCAAATACTTACCTACTGTGTCCTTTCTTGATCAGGTGCATTCGAGAGAGCTGGGAGGAATGAGGGACACACCCAGGCAGGGTCAGGATCATTTTGGAGCCTCGGAGAAGGGAACAGGGACAGGGTACAGGGGTACAGGTCTTAAGTAAAATGTATTGCATAATTAGAGAATTTGCTGGTTGGGGAAAAAGGACAGAAAACTCATGAAAACCATTTAGGAAGACATGTAGCCTCTCTCTCGCTCGCTCGCTCGCTCTCGCTCTCACCTTCTGTTCTTTCCATTTGTTCCCTTAGCGATCTCATTCATTATCATGGCGTCCTTCATCTCTCTCAAGGGTTTTATTCCCGAACCCAAATCACCAAATTCAGCCTCTCATGCCTCTTTCTTATGCTCTAGGTTCATGTTTTCAAGATAACTCTGCCTAAAACACAAATCAGATGATATCATTCTCCTAGTCAGAGACCTACAGGGTCTCTCCTCCACTGTCGTGCAGCACAGAGTCCAAGTCTGTAGTCTGGCAGTGAAAATAACAACCTGCTCTCCATCCGCCTTTCCACACTTGCCTTGCATTCCACCCTGTCAGGCACCCTATTTTTCAGCCACAAGATCTTCAGATATGTACCGTGCTTTCCTGCCTTTGTCACTCATTTCACACTGCTCCACTGTCATCCCATTTCCACATGTCCCATTCCTTCTATCCAGCCTTTGGGCTCCGCTCAAATGCTACCTCTTGCAGGAAGACTGCTTTCATCCTCGATCAACCTTTGAGAGCTGTAGTGTTATGACCTCTCTCCATTTCTGGGCTTTAAACTCTTAGAAGGTTAAAAACTGTCTTATTCATTTTTGTATACCATTAGTTTCTAGCACAATAGTTAGTGTTTTAGTGGATAAATAATTGACAGTACTAAGTATTTTTTTTTCTTGATTGATCCTACAGCTGGGGAGAAAACTGGGGAAACAAAGGCTATATCCTAATGGCTCGGAATAAGAACAATGCTTGTGGCATTGCCAACCTGGCCAGCTTCCCCAAGATGTGACTTCAGCCAGCCAACCCCATCCTGCTCTTCCGTTCCTTCCATGATTGTGCAATGAAGTGACGTATCTTGGAAGGGAGTTGGTGTGCCTTTCTTGAAGCAGATGTAGTGCTGCAGAGATTGTCTGTTCGGTTGCCCCATTTGTTTGTGCCTCAAGGGGGACACCCCTAGGCTACGTTCCTTGTCTCCACCCAAGGTCTTTATTTTTCCTTGTGGCCACAGTAGGAATTTCCCCAACAGGTGTGCATTTGTAGACTAAGAGATGTGACCACAGCTGCCCTGGCTGTGCTGTGCTGGGGCTGATCCTGCACAAACAGTTAGACGCTAGAGACCTTCGGGTGGGCTGGATTTTCGATCACAGGGCCCAGTTAGCTTTGACCACTCTAGGGGACTAAGGTGATCCGACTTGTCGACCTACAAGTTCACTTTTTCTATATCCCAAGGTAGAAATATCTATGTTTTACACTCCAACGCATGAATCTATTCATCAGTTTTGGGTACAAGTTACCATGATACAGGGAATTACGTTTCCTTTTTCCTTCTTTGCATTTTTAAAGTAAACCAAGTATTTATCTTTTGTCTCTAACGTAATAAGTAGCTATTTTGTAACCACTCATTTTGTGTTGGATACTGTGCTAGGTGCTGGAGACAAAAAGATGAATAAAACATATTCGTTATTCTTGAAGTGCTCGTAGTTTGTTTGAAGAGAACATAGTATAAAGACTTCATTTCAACTAATTTATTTGTTCATTTCTTCAATCAACTTCTATTAAGTGCTTACTCTGTACTAAGAACTGTACTAAATTTCAGGTACACTGTACTAAATTTTGAGCAATCAAATTCAGTGGCACATAAACTCGCATCTTGAAAAATATCTTAAGGCCCTCTGAAGTTCTAGAACCTAAACTTATGCTTTCACCAAAACAGGACATTGAAACTCTTTTTTTCTTTTTAAATCCTCACCTAAGGACATTTTTTCATTGCTTTTTTAGAAAGAGAGGAATGGGAAAAGAGGGAGAAATGTCGATGTGAGAAAGAAATATTGATTGGTTGCCTCTCATAGGCTCGCCAACCAGGGGTCAAACCTGCAACCCTTCAGTGTATGGCACGATGTTCCAACCAACTGAACCACACCAGCCAGAGTGAAACTCTTTATAATGGTTTCTAAGCAGCATTAATTCTAAAAGAATTTAACTGGCTAATAATAAACCTGCATAACTGGTTTTACCATTTTTCACAAAATGCTTATTATTACCACTAGAGAGAATTCATATTTATTAAATGCTAACCATGTGTTAGGCACTATTTAATTTTATTCTATGCAAAATTATTTATTTTTTATATAAATACTTATCACCATGTGGTATGCAGTGTATTTAAAGGTATAGTGAAAATAAATTAGTAAGGCATTGCCTGAACCTCAAGGATGTTATAGACTAGTGATGGACATACAAACAACTAATAATACCAACTATAATGAAATAAATACTAATTATACAAACTCAGGTATGAGTCATTAATTCTTTTTTGTTTTAAGATTTTTCTTATTTTTTAAAGAGAGGGGAAGGGAGGGAGAAAGAGAGGGAGAGAAACATCAATGTGCAAGAGAAATATCCATCAGTCACCTCTTGCACGCCCCCAACCGGGGACCTGGCCCACAACCCGGGTATGTGCCTTGACCAAGAATCGACCCAACAACCTTTTGCCTCCCAGGACAATGTCCTACCCACTGAGCCACACCAGCCAGGGTGAATCATTAATTCTTAATGGGATTTTAGATGAGGCTTCATTGAGAAGAGAGCTTTGAAAGTTCTGACTGGGCAGAGAAGACAGATGGGGAGTAGAGTGGGAAGAGAGAAGGGATATCAGGCCAAAAGTCCTGGGTCAACCAAGGCATTGAGAGAGCTGTGTGTGTGAACGGTGAGCTGGGGTGTCTCAAGTATAGGATACAAAGGCATACATGATAGAGCTTAGGTGAGAAAAGTAGGTGGGGGGCGGGGATCCTGGAAGGCCTTTAATGCCTCCCATGGCCCCAGAAGTATATATTTTATAGACAAACAGCCATTGAGTAAACATCAGGTATTTTTGGGCAGGAGAGAGATGTGATCAGATCTATATTTTAGCAATATTCCTCTGACAGTGGTGTAAAGAACAAATACCACATGAAGAACAAGATGAAGATGTAAGACACTGGTGGAAAGTCAACATGTAGAAGACACTATACGCATTCTATTTCTTCTCAAATAAAGACACTTCACCGAAGCATGACTCCTGAACTCTTTTGAAGCTTGAGTATGAGTTTGGCAGACGGGGAGTTAGGAAAAGGCATTCCAGACCCAAAGGATAGCACATTCAAATGTGTAGGCAGGAGAGAGCATGTTCAGCAAGCTGCAAGTACTTTTTCCTGAGCTTTGAAAGGACCAAAGGCAAACTTGAGAGATATCAAACTCCCCACTAGGCAAATCTACACAATCATGTGATTTTGATCTGGAATTTTTGCTCTTCTGCCTAAAGAAGAACATCCTTTAGAATTTCCTTTTGTGTAGATATGTGGGAAACAAATTTACTCTGTTCCTATATGTACTTGGGTTTATTTCTTTATTTTCTATTCTGGCAGATTAATATGTATATCTGTACTTGACCAGAATCACAGATTTATAGTGTGTTTTAATATCTAATAGGATTAGTTTCACCTTCTTACTCTTTCCTAGATTTTTTTCCTGAATATTCTTGCTATTAATTTTTGCCATGTGATCTTTAGAATCAGCTTGTCAAGTTATCAAAAACCCTGCCAGTATTTTTTATTTGGGTCAAATTAAATGTATATCTTTAAGGGAAATTGACCTCTTTATACTACTGGATCTTCCCATCTAAGAATAAGAGATGCTTTCATATTTTTTTCCAAGTATGTTTTTGTGCCCTTTGAAGAAATGTTGCTCTTTTCTTGCTAACTCTTTTTTTCTGGGAATTTATCTTTTACTATTTTTGTAGTTTAAATGGAGTCTTTTCTGATATAATTGCTAATTAGACATATATCAAAAGCTATCAATTTTTATTAGATTTGTTTTGTATTCAACTATCTTACCTTGAATTCTCTTTGTTTATGGGTTTTTCAGTTGATTCTCCAGGATATTTTTGAGTATATAAATGTATCATCCATAGAAATAAATATTACCCCTTTCTTTCTGATTTTTACCTCTAATTTATTCTTGTCTGTTTGCATTAGTTACTACCTCTAAATGATGCTAAGCAATATAGTTGCTATATCTTGATCTAGAAATACGATGATTTTTATGGATGTGTAAAATTCCACTGTAAAGATGTACATAATTTATTTAACTAAACCTCAATAAATCAACATTTACATTGTTTCCAGTGTTCTGAGAAAAAATTCAGGATTGATATTTTGACACAAAACAGTTGGTAAATGATTATACAATCAAATCTGCCATTATGTAATTTTTATTTCTTTAATAATAACAATATTATCTAACATTTATTGAGCTTTACTATGCAGCCCCTACCATAATAAATATGTACTGCTATGCATGCAATAAATATGCCAGCAGTACATATTTATTATTATTCATGAATGGTCAAAAGACTTATGAGGCCCATTATTATTAGTATAACCACACATGACATACCACTTCGTGACATGGAGTGCAAAGGACAGTTTATGTATATTTAAAAATTATGGACACATACACACAGTACTCTTATTATTGCCATACTACAGATATCAGATAGTCTGCCCAAGTTCACCTAGTTAGTAAGTGGTTGAGCCAGGATTCAGTCGCAGGTCTTGTTTTATTTTCTACCTCCAATTTCCCAATATTATTTCATCTATCCCTCCTTTTGTGTCTCTGTGTGTGTGTATTTTAAAACAAATCCCAGATATCATTTCATTCATAAATACTCATTATACATTTCTGAGTGAAGAATTTATTTTTACATTAGCATATCTAAGAAAATTAACAGTTGTTTCTTAATACCATTCAATATTTAGTCCATTTTAAAATTTCTGCAATTTTTTAAGGTATCTTTTTACTGTTAGTTTACTCAAATCAGTATCCAAATTGTTTTATACATTGCATTTGGTTGTTATTAAGTCTGTTGTATTCTTTGACAGTCACTTCCCTACCTGCACTCCCTCCAAATACACTTTGTTTTCTTCTTTTGATTGATTTCAAGAAGCCAACTCATTTGTCCAGCAGAATGTCTCATATTCTGGATTTCACTGGCTCATTGCTCTTTCGAAGTCCAAGGTTCTCGTGCTCTTTACTGCAATGTACTTTGTTTCTCACCATCTTTCACAGATGTTATGAGAAGGAAATAAAACTTGTAAGTGACAGCCTATTAAACTTTTAGTGGCGCAGGTGTTATAAAAATCCTGGACAGTTCTATTCTTTTTAAAAAAAAATCTTTATTTATGGATTTGAGAGAGAAAGAAAGGGCAGGAAAAACATTGAATTGCTGTCCCACACATTTTTTTTTAATCCTCACTTGAGGACAGGCTTATTGATTTTAGTGATTGGGGAAAGAAAGGAGAAAGAGAGGGAGAGAAACATCGATGCAAAAGAAAAACATTGACTGGTTGCTTTTGCACATGCCCCAGCCAGGGACCAAACCTGCAACCTAGCTATGGGCCCTGGCCCAGAATCATACCTATGGCTTTGCAGTTTGCAGGAAGATGCTCCAACCAACTGAGCCACAGTGGCCAGGGCATTTTTAAGCATTCATTGGGATGTTCCCTGAATCAAGTAGTTCTTGTATGTGCCCTGACTGGGCATCAAACCCACAGCCTTGGCATATTGGGATAACGCTCCGACCAACTGAGCTACCCCATGAGGGTTGACAGTTTTATTCTTTTACAGTACACACCCATTTGGCTGAACTTTGAGGCTTTTCTGCCCTTGAGAAGCCTTCAGGAATCATTGGCAGGTTTCACAATACTTTACAAGCTGAGTTTGTCCAAGGACTTCAGGAACATAGTTGTTACTTCTGGGCATTTATACCCTAAAGGCTTGATTCCCTGAGATTATATATGTAGGTTTGACAGGGTAAAGTGCTATGTTTTTGCAGATGACAGATTGTATACATTAAAAAAATTCTAAGGAATTTACTGAAAAACTATTAGAATTAATAAATGAGCTCAGCAAAGTTGCAAGTTACAAGATTAAAATACATAAATCAATTTTATTTCTATGCAGTAGTAATGAATAAAATGAAAATGAAATTAAGAAAACAATTCCATTTATAATAATATCAAAAAATAAAACACTAAGAAACAGATTTAATTGAAGGAGTGCAAAAGTTGTACTCTGAAAACTATAAAACACTGTTGAGATAAATTCAGAAGACCTAAATAAATGGAAGGTTATCCCATGTTCATGGATTGGAAAATAATATTAAGATGGCAATACTCCCCAAATTGACCTATAGATTCAAAACAATCTCTATAAAAACCCTAGCTGGCTTCTTTGTAAAAATTGAAAAGCTGACCCTAAAATCCATGTAGGCATTCAATGGGCCCAGAACAGCCAAAACAATCTTGAAAAAGAATAAAGTTGAAGGACTTATATTTCCCAATTTCACAACTACAAACCAACAGTAATCAAGACAGTGTATTACTGGCATAAGGATAGGATTATAGACCAATGGA